CGGGGGGGTCGCTTGCGGCGTTACCTGCCTCGGGGACAGCCCCCTCGGCCCTCGCCTCGCCGCTGCCGGGGCCGGCTGGAGGTGTGCGTGGCGCGGGCCCCGTGGCTGTCCCTCAGCGGGGAGCCGCCCTGCGCGGCCGGGGCCGGAGGGCGACACCGCCTTGGGCGGTGGGCCGTTCCCGCGGGCCCAGGCAGCCGGTCGGAAGGGATCAGCTGCCTCCCGGCCGCATCGACCCTCTCCAGCCGTTTCCTCGGCATTGCTAGAGCAGGGGAAGGGCGAGTCTGAAAGCTCCTGTGGTTGGGAGAGGGTGAGATAGCAGGAGAGGTCGTGAGCCCGTCCTTTCCTGCTTGCTTACGCTTTGAAATAACCATGGCCGCAGCAAAGCTACTGGAGACAGTTCGTGGTGGTTTCCACTCCCGAACTTGCAGACAGAGGCTTTCTTGAGTCACAGACGCTAGATTTTGAGGCAAGTCTGACTCCTGTACAAAACTTTAGGAAAACTTACTACTGAGGTGTGTATTAAGATGGCTTTCAAGACTAGGTGAGATCGCCTAGGGTAATTTTTTTCGAAGCGTAATCTGCTCTTTATTGAGCTTTGCCACAGATCTGCTGGAGAGTGCCTTGCTCTTATCTCTTCCTGCTAACCACCCAGACTGTGATGGATGTGTGGTTGTACCTGGTGCTGTAACCCATTACATGGACAGAACTTGGGATTTAGTTTTGAGGCTGACTTTTGAATTTGGTAATTGAGAAGAAGGTGACCGTTATATTTTAGTTCATGCAGAGACTTTCTTGGGTGCAGATTGTGGGGTTTTATTGTGTGGTGGGGTTTTGTGTCTGGTTTTTTTTTTTTAATTTTGAGTGGTAGGCATTCACAGTCATTATAAAAGTAATGTTGAAACTTCTGGTCACTGCCTCTAAAGAGATCCAGCTTGCACTGCTGTTAGTGGGTTGTGAAGTTTCATATCTTATTGTCTGGCTCAAGCTCTTTAGTTGCTCAGATTTGTCTCCTCCTAGGGTTTATCTTTTTCCCAGAAGTAAGGAGCATAAGGTGACTTTCTGTGCTTCTGTAGTTTGATATCCATTGTTATTGCTCGACTAAGCAAATGAATGTACAAGCAGCACAGAGTGGCACAGTGCTATTACTACCTCTCTAGTCTAGTGGGTGCAATTTATTGATTTTTTTTTTTTAATGTGCAAATCTTCCTAAATAAAGGCTATGTTTTCAGAAATATCTTATGGTAAGTCTTACAGGCAAATCTTACATTAGAAGCTTCTTGAACAGTTGCCAAAACAAGGCCCAGGCCATTCAGTGCATCATAGTATTAAACAACAGAGACTAAACCATGACTTGTCATGACTCGTACTACCTAATGTGAAGTATGTCCACTTTTTATCTGCCAAAATTCTTCTATTTTCAGTCTATACTAATTCTATTTCAATTATAAAAGCATGATTACTTTTTTTTTTAAATAAATGACCTACTGGATTTATCAGATGAAATCCTATTTTCTCTAAAATTAGTGGGTCAAGCACTAGACTCAAATGAGGTTAGTTCTGGCTTGTTACATCATTCACTGTTGTACCCAAAGAGATAACAGTAAGTGAACGCTTGGAACTTTTTAAGCATAAATTGATCTCTTTAGCTAACTAGATTGATGTCCTTGTTTCTCTGAACACATTCCAATTTATCACCCTCTTTCAAATAGAGTTTCCCAGAGCTGAGTGCAGCATTTCAGGCATAGCTGCACCAAACTTGGGCTGAAAGGCACCACAATCTTGTGGGAACTAATGTTTCTCTATATGCAGGGTGACAGGTCTCTTGAAGTGAGAGTCATGCCTTCTGTATTCTGTAAGGCTTATTCCCAAGCCTGGTTGAGAGAAACTTAGAAAATAGTAACACAAGCGTTGGCATATTTTTCATCTTCTTTAGTACAATATTCTGATATGGCAATCTTCTGAACAGAATTAAAAAGAAAGAGGCTCTCTTCCCACCATGTGTAGCTACAGTTGCCAGTAGTCTGCTTTTGTTACCTCCTTTTGATGAGGATTGAATTGTATATGAGAGAATTGCAGGTAGTGGCTTGCTGCGAGCACTGCCTTGCAGCATGTGCAGAGTAAACTTTTTAGTTTACTTTGAATAGGCCATATCCTGAAAACTATGAATTATTTCAGAGAACAGTTATTAATTGACTCTATTTTGGGTAGTGGAACTTTTAATCAATAATTTAGAGTTTTAACAGTAACTTGCATGAGTCTTTTTACTGAGGTAAGAAAAAGACTGCAGTTATGCACAACCCTTGACTGCAGCTTGAAAGCAAACTGCCTTTATTGTCAGCTGTCTTCATAAATATCTAGATGTCAGGAGTTCATATTTATTTGTTGAAGTGTTGTTGGAGGCCAGACATCTTGGATAGCTTGTGGTTAGTGAATGAAATGAAGAGAACTTCAGTGTTGTTGAATGATGCGCAGTTGCATTTCATAGGCTATATTTAGTTTGGGACATAATGGTTTGTTTTATACGTCAGAAGAACATTGCATATGCATGTAGGATTTAAAAGCATGGAGTTAGCAGGGGAAATCAGCAACGCACTGTAGACAGACTGAGAAGGACGTAATTATGGAATATCCTTTTATGATCCAGATGCTTGGTACAGCATGTCAGGTATCTGATACAAAGCAAGGTAAAATGTCTTTCCTTTTACTTCAAAACAAAAAAAGCTAACTGCTTTTTGCCTGAATATTGGATTAACCATGTAAGGTAGTTACTTTGCTTAATTTTACTCCCTTTTTTTAAGGATGAATCCCAGTTAGTGACTTAAGTCGTGCTTTTCAGGAGGCTAACAGAAAATACTGTAACTGAGTAAACTATCTGAGAAACAGTTAGAACTGTGCTGTGACTCTGAATAGAATTGCATTTCTGACCAGATAATTTTTTTTAAAGTTATAAAATTAATACTTAGTGTAAATTTCAAAATGTTGGCATTCTTCTGTCTACAGGTAAAGCTTAAATTTGTCTTCTTTCAGGATACTTGCTGCAGGTGCTTCCTGTAAAAATCAAAATCAAGGATGGAAGGAATCTGGTTTGCATAACACTTGGTTTGGGCATAATAAAGGATTATGGCAGCATGAATTGCTTGCATTAGATAAAACTGAAGTGTAGAGGTGTACAAGACTTCTAGAAACAACATTAAACAGGGTCTACCTTACTTTGATCCAATAGCAATATTGAGGTCTTTGTGTTTGCATTTCAGTGAATGACTCAGCTTTTCGTGTTTGTACTGTCAACTACATTTGAACACTAAATGTATCTCCCCAGCTAAAAAAGAAGCTGTTAACTTGAAAGCCTCACTTCTACCCTGATTATATTAGTGTTATAACATGTAAACTACCATCTCTATTTCTTCCTTTGACAGCTCAAAGGAAACAATGGAATTGGTATGTTTGTGATAATGAAACTGTAAAGATTCTATGAGAATATATAAATGTTTTAAAAGGTTGATAATTTAAAAGAATCTGCAGAGTTTTAGAACTATTATGTCATTAATTCATTTTAAAAAGAGTATCCTTGCATTTGCATATGTATTGTTAATAGTTCCACTGTGTAAGAGAATAGCAGTGTAGTGCTTTTGAACCACATCAGTGTCCTTTTTCTAATGCACACAGTCCTCTAGTTGACTTTGAAAGAACTCTAGTAGGAGTTCTTTGGCAGATCTCTCTTCCAGCTCCAGCACCATCCAATGATCTTCAAAAAAGCCTTAGGCTCTTGTCAGGGTCGTTCTGTGTCCCAAGACCTACTGCTCTTCTAACAGCAGCTATTCTAACAAAATGCTATTCAGAATCTAAAATACTTTTTTTTTTCCTGCCCAAATGTTAGTTTAGCATACTGCTTAATTAATTTAACCACTAGATACTATGCTAGGTTAGCAGCCCATATCCTTCTACATGGTAGGTCAACAGTGCCTCCTAAACTAAGTATGTCATCATCTTAATTTGTGGCACATGCAGATAGAGTATTGAATCACCAATACAAGCACTGTGTGAGTTTCATTTCAAGAACTATGATTTCACTTGTTTTTTAATGTAGCCTGCTATTGGCCTACGGTGCCAGTCCCTGAATCCTGAAAGACATTATACTTAACAAGTGAAGTCCGAATTAAAAAAAAAAAAAAAAAAAAATTGAGCGGGAGATATTAAAATAAATGTGTACTTTGGGGTATTTGCTTATAAGATGGAATTTGATATTCCTTTATCTATCTCTCCCCCAAGGACTTGTAATCTGATTTAATAAGGCTAAATCTTGGATATGTTTCTGTCTCCCTAGAATCAACAGCCAACATGTCTAGCAAAAGGGCAAAGACAAAGACCACCAAGAAGCGCCCTCAGCGTGCCACTTCCAATGTATTTGCAATGTTTGATCAGTCGCAGATTCAAGAATTCAAGGAGGCCTTCAATATGATCGACCAGAACAGGGATGGCTTCATTGACAAAGAGGACTTGCACGATATGCTTGCCTCCCTTGGTAATGACACTTTTCTGTTTACAGTTGCCAAGCAAATTTGTGCTGTTAAAATAATTGAGTTTGGGATAGCTTATGAGAGATGTCTCAGTTTGTATTGCGCTATGCAGATTGCTTTTTCTTTTAGTTTGAAAGCTAAAACAAGTATGAATCCCTTTATTTGTAGGAAAGAATCCAACGGATGAATACCTGGATGCCATGATGAATGAGGCTCCAGGCCCCATAAACTTCACTATGTTCCTCACAATGTTTGGTGAGAAGTTAAATGGCACAGACCCAGAAGATGTAATCAGGAATGCTTTTGCTTGCTTTGACGAAGAAGCAACAGGTATGTAGGTAAAATAACAGTGTACATGTGTTATTTCTACTTACCATTAAATAACTTTTTTTTTGTAACAATAAATACTTATATTCATAGAAGTGGTGATGAATTTTTCAAATCTGAAAATTCTGGTTTCTGCAAACTAAAAATCATGCCTGTGTCCTCATCAGCTGAATTACCTTTTCAAGCACTCTAAAACTTAAAATCCCAAGTGTCTGGCACTTTGGTCTGCTGTTCAAGACAGGAGAAAGTAAAAATTGGCAACCAGGGTCTTAAATTGTTCATAACTTAAAATTCAGCTTCAGGGCAACTTTTGTAAGGGGTATCCTTGTCTTCAAAGCTGTTGTGCTTTTATGAAGAACTTGTTGTCTGTCAGCAACTTGTATCTATGTTCCCTCTGTTAAGCTGCACTTAAAGGGGAAGAAAATGAATACAAGAAAAACCTTGTGTGACTCATAAGAGTGCTGATAGAAGGAATCACAAGTTATATAAGGCTGCTTGTATAATAAACAATGCCAAAAATGTATTCTTTGCAACCAGTCTAATAAATCTGAGTTTTGTCACTGATCTAAGATCAATTTAAAAATCTTTGAAATATTTCAAACTGCCCTGTGTTTCATGCACGTGTTGAACATTGGTAGTCAAGTTCTATCGTGTTTTTTTTTATTAGTGGTTTTGATTAGGAAAGTTCAAGACAAATGGATCCCCTTTGTGTAAAATACACAGTTATCAGAAGGCTCAGTACTACTGGGACTACAGCCCTGCTGTGGGGATGAAGGTCCAAGATGTATGCTGACAAACTTGTACCTTCTTTGAAACAATGCAGGCAAATCATAAAATGGCCTTTACTTGAAGTAGTGAGACCATGCAGGTTAACTAAGAGGCTTGACTTGATTGAATGCTTGTAATTATTTGGCAATTATAGTAATAGGTTTTAATGGCTTTGTTTTCATTTGGCAACAAAGACTGTGGGTCTCTAATTGAAACAATTCAAAGAAAGAAATTATCATCCCTCTATTAGCAGATAAATGTAAAAACTCCTTTTTCTTATGTCCTCTTACATTATGTTCTAGGGTTCATCCAGGAAGACTACCTGCGAGAGCTGCTGACGACAATGGGAGACAGGTTCACAGATGAAGAGGTAGATGAGCTGTACAGAGAGGCACCGATTGACAAAAAGGGGAATTTCAACTACATTGAATTCACACGCATCCTGAAACATGGAGCAAAAGACAAGGATGACTGAGCAAATATCCTGATACCAGCAGATTATCTCTACTTTACACTTATGTTTATTTTTGAGGGTTTCTTCCTGATAGAACTTGTTGCATGCATTTAGCTTTACAGCTTTTGCCTTTCTCAATGTATTTATACCAGGCCATTTAGGCACATTTGCACCTGTGTAATCAGACTGGAAGTGGGGAAAATATTGTGAGGAAAAGGATATGGGGACAAAGATCCCTGGACTTCACAGTCCAGGAAAATAATCTCAATGTTTCTGGTTTAGCTGGATTTTTACATTTTTGTAATAAATGCCATTTTGAAATAAAGATTGCTGTATAGATAAAATACCTCAAATTCTCTTGTGAAGAATGACTTTTCTATTATGCATTTACAAATGCAGGTGTTAGTTGTATTTTACTTGCAGTTGCAAAACTTGGAAAACTCATTTTCATAATATTTTGTGCAGTGTCACACAGTTCTGAAATGCTCCTAGCAGTATGTGCTGGTGTCTTTAAAAATGCACCTGTACAAATATCTTATCTCAGGTTTTTGAAGTGGCATCTGACTGGTGTAAGTAGTTAGCCAAAGAATAGTTAAGAAAGATTGTTACAATTGTCTAAGGGCCAGCAGAGAACACTTAGGATTCTTAAGCAGATATCATGTCCAGCTTTTATTTCCTTTTAATACTGATAGTTTTTTTAGCAATGTTTTCATGTCAAAGTTTGCATTCCTGTTTATGCTGGCAGTAAATGGGAATTAGGCATATTTTTCCCCCTTCTGCTGAAGTAAGCTTGTGCAAAGGAATCTGTCTCTGAGCTACAGTGTCAGTGCTGGCACTAATTAACAACAGTACATGGCCAGAAAACCTACATAAAAGCTGCAGAACAGAGCTTTAATTTGCATGTGAGAATGAGAACAAAGTACTTCTAAGAATTAACTTGGTAAAACCCTACACATGCTAAAGTCCCTCTCACTTTTTAAAAGATCATACTTTTTCTTTAGCTATGTGGAGAAGACAGCTTTTAAGCAAGCAAGACTCATTCATTCAAAAATAGCTGTACTGATGCTGTGTCTTGAATAACAAGAAAAGAGAAAGGTGGTTCTCTTAGTTCTTTGTGTGATCATGTGTCTTACTCTCTTGGCTACTGCAGGCTGAAAAGCATAAGGGGAATTTATCCTACCTATGTATTTAGCAATTAAAGTGATGATCTCTTATCCAGAAACCATGCCCTGAGCTATTTTGCATGACTTAAAGACCCTGAGGAACAGGACTTTTACTTCAGCTAAAGGGCTTATAAAAGCTGAGACAGCATATAAGGAGGGTTTGTCTCATGTCCTGTGTGGTAGCACAAAGGCTTGGTTAGGGGGTGGGGACAGGGAACTGTATTAATGTAAGGAAGACATTATTGAGAGAGAAGTTCCAAGTATGTTTGAGTATAACCAATGATGACCTTCCAAGTTCAGGTTTCCCTAGTATCTGTATTGTCATGTAGCAGACCAGTCAACCTGCAAGTGGGTGCAAACCCTTTAACTGCTGGAAGGCTATGAGACCTATAGACCCAGCCAAGAGACCATATAAGAGCATCAGATGCATTTTGTAGCTAGGCAGCGAGGAATGTCCAGACAGCTGAGGTTGCATGCCAAGGGCTGCAGGGATGTGTCATCGGTAATCCACTTCCAAAAATAAAAATAACTTTGGTCAGTGAAACAGCTTAAGATTCTGATGACTTGGTTTTGCATTTACAGTCAAAATCTTGGAACCGTATCTTTTCTCCCTTGGGATTCATATATAATGGTCTCCAAGCTCCACACCAGACTAAGCTTATGATGAAAAACTATTTTCATAGGCTGAAAATGCACACATGTAATGGTCTTACATCTGCAGTGATGCATAATGCCCTGTGAAGCACGACTGAAAAGCAGTGATTTATTTTACATGACCCGTTTACCCTGTTCTAAGGCTACATAGGCAAAGGTCAAATTGAAGCCAAAAAGCTGTTGCAGCTGCATGAGAAACCTCCGAAGAGGACTGTGTTTGTGTGAAGTGCTGCCAGTATATGCTTGCCTGCTGCATTTTTTTCCCCCCTCCTCTGACTGTCGCTGGAGATACTGGTAACATGCAGCATTTTAACCACTTGGGATACACTCATTTCTACTCTTTACAATGCATTTACACAAATAAAACTCTTTCATCATGCAGTCATCAGATGACTGAAGCACTACACAACATGAAGTCAGCTTAATATACTAGCTCAGCAGCTAGCTGATGTCACAGAGGTGGTGTTCGTACACTCTGAAGTAAGGATCTGTTTCACCGCTGACCTAAGAACTATCTTTAGATCACTTGTTTCTAGGATCACTATGATATGTTGAGAAACAAAATGTAACACAGGGGCCCCATCCTGGCACAGGACATCAGTAACAATATGCCTTTGTGTCCTGCCCACTGCATTTGTTCCAAAAGCTGGAAAATAGCTGAAATCTTGTCATCACATGTTTCTCGTGTCTGTGGCCTTTTCTTGTCAGGAACATTACTGACTTACTATTTGGTATGTTCCTGGGGAGTTTCAAATGGCAACAAATAGCTCTTTTACCATACCGAAGGCATTCAGACAATGTAAATCCAAATGACAGGTGAGTAACAATCAAAGTAGAGTCAGGAACATTTTAGGTATCAGCAGTTAATCTGCCATCGGCATTGCCTGTGTATCTCCTATTCTGGCTTGCTTACTTAATTTTTCAAACTCTACTGTCATTTTTAGATAATGTCCTCCTTCAGAAAAGTGATTTAGGATGACAGTAACTCAGAAACAGTATTACAGAAGCCAGGAACAATATAGAGAAAAAAGAAATCAGTAAATGCCTCTCAAAGTGCAGCTTAAAAGTAAGTTACGAAATTCTGGAAAGCAATACTGGGGAAAAAAACAACAAATTCCAACATTTTTGTTGTGCTCCGAGTAGCAACTCCATAGAGTGATCAGTGTTTTCCCAAACTTTTGATATATTAGATGGAAAACTTTTCATCTTAAAAAAAAAAAAGGGGGGGCAGCACGTGGCTGCTTTTGCTATTTTCCTCTGCAGCCCATGAGCCTGTACACACATTGGTCCCTGTTCCCTGGGACCACTTGTTCTGGGTAGGAGCGAGCTCAGTTGCTGTGGGCAGACAAAGCAGGCAGGCTGCTGTGGTAGCACACCCTTTGGGAATCCCCGCGCCAGACCTTGAAAAAAGTAACTTGTATTGCAAATTTCAACAACGCAGAAAAAATACTGCCAAGGAGTGTTTTCAGACCAAACGTGTGATATTCCCTAGAGAACAGATCATACATAATAGACATTGCATCACAGGGCTTAAGGGGTCATGCAGTTTGTAGGAATGTGATAAATCTAAGGGAGATGTTTACATGTTTCTCGGAAGCATGTAATTTAACAGAAGGGCAGGAAATCAAACTGCCTCCTGCAAAATCCCAACAGCTTGCTGCATGCAGACTCCTCTGTCATGCAGCCGTGATTCAGTCCCTTAGTAAACCAGCCTTGCACTTTGACAAAGCTTGGGAGTCAGTTACAGGCTTAGGCAGGTCAAGACTAACTTTAATACGTGTGCTTAAAGGAGCAGATGGTGTGTGACAGCAGCATTCATTTTAGCATTCTTGTAAACTGCCACTGCTCAATTTTGCAAGGTTTATTTAATCCTTAATTTGTAATTTTCTCACTTTGACTATTTTAGGGTATCAGTGAGTACAACCTCACTAAATATTGAACTACGTTTTTTTTTTGGTTTTTTCCTTATGAATGTTGTGGGCATAACTCCTTGAGAGTTAAAAGACCGCATTTCACAATGATTTCCAGCCTCTGTCTAGCATATTCAAGTGAGTGGGTGTAAAACGAGGCCTGCAAGCCCTGTCTTAGTATTTGCTAAAATAGAGCTGGCATCAGACATAAGTAACTTGAGCCTTGACTTAGCATCGTATCTAGCAGGCGCTTTTTTTTCCTCTGTTGAATTATTCTTCCTTAATTGTGCGCTAACCATCTCTAACGCAATAGGTTTTATACTGGCAAGATACTACCACCCCACAAGAAGCATGTTGATTTTGAAATTGCTCCACCAGCCAACCAAAATTCTATAGCTACCAGCTAATAAGAAACCAGATAACAGCTTACTTTTTATGTCAAACACCTGACTAAACACACTCCTCCTTGTTTTCTGGTTATGTTTTAAAATACCATTTTAGGCCTTCGGCCAAGCACTGAGCACATTTCATTTCCTTCCTTATTTGTACGTACATTGTCAGATAGATACAAATGCTAACTTAACATGTGAGGAGAGGGCACATATGTATGTCCTTAGCTTTAGCAGAATTAATTACATGTGTTTGAAAGACTGGAGGCCTCACTCTCTTCTTACTAAGAATACCTTATCAACACTTATTTTTGCATTTCACTTATAAACATTGTGGAATCATGGTGTCTGGCAATATTTCTGTTTAAAACTAGTGCAAAAAGGGGAGAAAAACTCACAAAGATTTGGCTAGAATTATTCCAATTGACCAGCTGGGATAAAAACCAAGTGATGGACATACAGCACAAGTGGCAGTACCATGACTTCTTTATGATAGAGAACAGGTAGCAAGGGACAAAACCCCAGCAGATATCAACAGCCCAAGATGCAATTTTCAACATTTTCTCTTTTTTTTTTTTTTTTTAATTTGTGTTCTTCATATATGAAGGACTTTGGACTTGGGAATGCAAGGAGCACCTTGTCTGCTGAGTCCAGTTCCTGTCAAACACATTCCAGTGCCCATTCATACAGTGATTGAGCTGCAAATAATTATATTGGGGGGGGTGTTTTCTCTTGTTTTACAACATGTAAGAGACTGACTTTATTTTACTTATGTTCCATTACATTTCTCTGCTTTGTCCTTGGCCCTGGCATATCCTTGTCATACAATGCTCTAGAGAAGTTGTGTTCTCACCTTTTCCTCAGCTATGCACACTGGAAGTTACCAGAAAGTCAAAACAGAGCTATTTCTCATTTTCAGTGTGGAGAAAGAATGTATCTTCCTTCTATGGGCTCCAGTACATTCTCTGAGAGCCTTTATTTTTCATGCATCAGCATCTACATTGTGGCAGGGACCAACTGGGAAAGCAGTAACATACCATTTTTATTCAAGGTCTTTGAATGAGAACAAGAATACCCCGCAGCCGGTGAGAAGTCTTGCTCTGAGGCCTTCCAAGAGACCCAAGAGAAGACATGCATTCA